GCTACCACCTGGTGCAGCCGCAGTCCATCATTGTGATACTGGAGAAGATTCGCGAGGCGGATAAGAAGCCCATTTTCTCGCTGGTGCGAAAGAACGACAAGAAGAAGTTGCTGGAGACGGTGCTCAAACAGCTGAGGCACATTGCTGATCGACAAAACTAGGATAAGAAGGATGTTAGTTAGAGCTTATTACCCACACTAAAAATGTGCTTTAAAGAATTTAATTTACACTTCACCTTATTCCAACTGTTTTGCCCAAGAATTCCCACTGTTGTAATCGTATAACCCTCACTTCTATAGCTTTTTCGTCTTTATTGATTATGCTAATTTGAGTTTTCACATGGAAAAAGTATTTAGTTCTCATTTACTTTTGATTCGATTTGTTTTTATAAAAGACAAATTTCAATTGAAACTGCTCGACCCGTTGAACGTGTAAAATTGTATTTCGAATTTTGATTCTTATGTACAAAAAGCGCAGAACTTTAGCAATTGCCTACGTACGGATTGTTGATAAATACAAAACAAAAACGACAAAGAAATGAAAACAAACGGAGAGGAACGTCTAAATAACAAATTGTATATAATTATTAGATGTATGTAGCGTACGTGTATTGTGTAGGTATATTCCGCAAATCGTATTAAACTAACTTCTAAGTTACGTATATGCGTTGTTTGTGTTGCTTTTGTCAACTCTTCGTCTCCAGATGCTTTGGCGCATCCGCATACGTGAACTTCAGGCGGAATGCCTCGGCGAGCAGAACGTTGATTTGGCGATCGGACCAGTTGTGTGTTGGCAGATTTTGTAGCAGCAACATGAGACCCTGAGTACGGCGGAAGATATCCTTAGTCAGTAGATGTTTGGACGATTAATTTTTTGAATGACGTACCTGGAAATCGTTCTGTTGCATCAGCTGCTCCTTCCAGTGGAGCAGGAATGCCGCGCACACGTACAAATGGAACAGGGCAAACCCGTCGGACTCCGCCAGATATGTGTCCCACAGCCGGATGGTGCAGTGCAGCGGCAGTTCGCGTGTAAGCAGATTGTTCATCCAGCGAAATGAGAATTGCAAGTAGTCGACGCCATGCGCCTGTAGGTGACGGTGTAAATTCACTGAAAATGCGAATTAAATGTAATTATCATTATTCGGCAATTAAAGGTTGAAGGGCAATTATAGAAGCGCTTGTGTATCCCCTATCTGGTAATCATTTTTATCAGTGCCAAGCACTTGCTGGTATACGTGTCATTGAATATTTACAACGAAAATTTGAAACGAAAATATTATTAAGCAAAACAGGAAATGCATATATGTATATATAATTTAAATGCTTCTTCAGCTCTTTTGACAAGATCATCAGAGGCAACAAACTGAGGCTTTTATCTGCCTATAGCCTTCACAATTATCTTATCACAAGAACAATATATTTTGTTTTGAACTTCTTTACATTTAATGTAAAAGATATCTTGATGGAGCGTCCATCTCCTGCCAAAAACACTCACCGTCAATGCGTTGTATCAGATCCTTGAGTTGGTTAACCTTTTCTTGTATGCCCAGCTGGGCAAAGATGTAGTTATCCTGGATGCAGTCGAGAAACTTGGATAGACACCAAAAGGAGTCCGCTTCGATAATGTTTCGAGTCTCCTCGGGCAGCGTGGACATGTCATACTTCTCGAGATCAGTACTCGGCGTCAGGGCCTCCTGCAGAAAGACGATGAAGAAGGGCGTGACCAGGTCGTTGATTCCCTGCACGTAGCCGGAGGCAGGATGGCGGATGGCCCAGATGAAGAGAATGCGCTCGAACATCTCCTGGACGAGCTGCTGCTGGAAGAGCGGAATCTGGGGATTCATGCGTGGCACATCGATGTGGATCTGGCGGTATGTGTCCTGCTGCGTCTCATCCTGGCTGTCCACCCGGAAGTAGTTGTGCCTAAGGTCCTGATATCCCTGCCGCTTGCTCTCTAGCACCGCCATCCTCCGTTCGCTTGAGGGCGGAAGATATTTGGAAAGGAGTCGCCAGCTTACCGCGCGCATCTATGGTGGGGGTGTTAGGATTATGGCCAGATTAATCGTTAGATTCTCACCTTTCGCGGCACGCCAGACCAACTGATCTTCTTGAGAGCCACCAAATCCAGTTGAGGCGAGTCTAGCACCACCTGAAACTTCTCAATTTTCGTCTCGTACTCGCTGTCCTGGCAGTTTGAACTGATCTTCTGCAGTTGCGGTCTTCCTGGATAGTTCCTCAATCGCGATCTGAAAATACAACCTCGATTACTAACCACCGGGGGCTTGCTTTCTTGCGGTCTTGGTTCTGCGTCTCTTGACATGGCTCTGAGGGAAGGGCTGGGGAGTGGCTATCAGTTAAGGAAGTGAAATGATTCAGGAGCGGTAACCGAGCAACGCGGTTAACACTTGTTAAAACATGAAAAATGATAATGAAGAATTGGTAACACCTTGGTGGAAAACAACATATACCGGAGTGACACAGGGATCTCTTTCAACCAAATTTAGTTGAAATTGAACCCTACAAATTCCAAATGTCTGTGGTTCTCCAAAATACCTGTGTCATTCTTGTTACAAATTAAAATATTTTGTTCTTAGTCACGGATAACTCTCTTATATAAAATAATCCGTTTTTAACTAATGTCTATCATCAAAATTCCTATTCTTGGATACAATGTTGTTACAGTGATTACACTTCTATCATCTTGTTAGTACCATATAAATTAGAAACAAATATTTTTCCGAATTTATGTGTACGATTTTTTAAATTTGTTTTTAAATTATCTAAAAGAAAAATTGAGCCTACGCATTTTTCTCCAAGATCTTGGCTTACATCACCGAGTAACCTAGGTGGAATGCGGGTTTGCACCGCTCCACCCCTGACTTGTTTGCACAACTGCGGGCGCTGGGTTCAACTTTCTTTTCGACTTCCCCGTTGAGTTGGCGCCGCTCACCTGTTCTCATTGCTGTCCGGCAGCGATCTGCGGTCTTCCTTGCCGTCGTCCGTTGAGCTCCTGCTGGCCGGTATTGAATCTGCGCCACATTCGCTGCCTGGCCGGGATGCGAGGTGGTTTTGGTTGCTTCGCGAGTGCGTCTCGATTACGTTGAGCGCCACCGTCTGGGACACTTGCCGGGAAAAGCGAGCTGTATCTGTGGAGGAGCAAAACAGCAATGTGAGTAGAGGGAAGTCATCCTAGTGGTAGAGCCATTACCACCGCCGGCTCCAGCGGCCGCCGCTGCTGCCGCTTCCGTGCTGCTGATGATGCAGAACTCGTCGTCGCCCATGTCCCAGGCATCGCTCACCGACTTCTGGTACTCGGTGAATGTGGACACCATGCCAGTTCCGGGGGCAGCGCCTCGTCCGCCCGCTACCCCAGCGCCTACGGACTTTTCGAGCTCCCGCTTGGGACTGGGTCGTCCGGGCACCCGACGTCCGCTGTTTTTCCAAAAGGTCGAGGAGTTCGCGCTGGGCGTCCCTGCTCCTGGTCCTCCTAGTGCTCCCGCTGTTGTGGAATCGGCTGTTTGGCTCTTTGCTGCTGCTTGCTCTACATTATTATCCATTATACGTCCCCTAAGTCCGATTCGATCAGCGTCATTATTTTATTTTGCATCAAAAACAGTGTGACCCTCGCCGCTTCGGCCGTTGTCACCGCACGGCGTTTTTTTGGCAGTGATGCGAACACGGTGTGATCTGGGGTGTGACAGGCTCCCAACCCAGTGACAAGGGCGAAACCGACCCGTGAAACGGTAAAGATAATACAAAATATATATGGCTTTTGCTTCAGTCATTTAGTGCAGTGTACATTACTCTCCTCAATACCTATCAATTGACTTTAAAAAATGTTGCCACGCCCACAAACTTCAAAAAATCGTTAGTCCCAACCAAAAAGCAAATTTCTAAGATCATTTAATGAGAGCCATATTTTTGTAACCAATTGTAGACCTCAATTAGGTATCAAAGTGCATAAGGTTAAAAAGAATTTAAGAAAGGGAAAACTTAAAATTTTGATTGCATACCTTAAAACCTAAAATTAGATCGCTTTACGAAGCACTCAGACCGACACAACAACTCAACCAAACACATAAAACAAATCCCGTTTTTTAAAAATGTATTAATCTGGAATCTCAAATGAGGAAATGACGAAAGAATGCAGAGGGCAAATCAGGAACTTTTTATAAATCCTTCCTCTTCTAATTTTTTTGTATTTTGTTGTTAATTTTTTTCTGAATTAAATGCCAAGGCCCAAAAAAGGTGCCAAAGGTGTCTGTCTCTGATGCGAAAAGTCCCCGGCTCTCCGCGGCGATGCAGAATATATAAAATTATAAATTGTAATAAAAAACTTGTATTTAAGAAGTTTTGAGATTTCAAAGAAAAAAATAAACAAATTTGTCATGAGTGGAACCCGAACATCTAACCCACGTGCAAATTCGCTAACACTCTGAAAACGGCTAACAACGTGAAAGTCTTGTGGGATGCGCCCTGAGGCTGATTCATCCTGACAAATAAGTAATTATAATAATAATCATACATAACGAAGTCGAAAAAGTAAATCATCCTGAAGAACTCTATGCAAACAACAAAAAATTCAAATGTTTTTTTTTTTTAATTGGGCCTACCTTTAGTTTTTGACAACAATTTTAAAAACAATTGTTTTAAGTTTTTATTAAAGCGGTGTTTGTGAAAACGATATCGGTTATACGAAATGTACGTAAGCATCAATACAAGTTTCTGCCGAAAAAACTTTCGTGACCCCCCAAAAGACTTATACTACATTCCAATCCGTGACTTCTTCTCCAGGTTTTATTTGCCTACTTGGCAACCCTTGCGGCTTCCCATTTCGAGGGCACCCGCGCACGGTCACTCCAAATGCAAAACAAGTGTCTTTTTGGCGTGATAAGAACCCGCAATCAAACGATTTCATTATTCGGTGGTACAATTGCAAGCTCCAAAACTATGCCACAGGGGAATCGCTAGACAGGCAGTCAGTGTGGAACCAGCAAGATGCAGAAGCAAGAGGAGGTGCTGTCGCGCCTGCGCCCGATATTCGACATATTTTTGCGCGAGAACTTTTCCACTACCAACAATGTTTACTTTGAGAAGCTCCTCACGCACTTGCAGGCCAAGGGTACGTTTTCAAATCGTGCTGGGCCTGCTATCTAACTTCTAATCCCCATTGATTTCTGTCCCTCCGCAGAGAACGCGTTTGTGCTGCAGGCCCCATTTGTGGTGGACTGGGTGGACAGATGCATCACTGCGGTGACCGAGGACTTCAACAAGATCCACCCGAAGGTTGTGTCTTTTATGCTGAATCTGACCAGCTATCTGGCGAACAACGAGTGGATGATTGTGCGCCTGCGGGAACTGGATATAGTAAACAGGTAAGGGGCCTAGGGAAAAAAGATCCGTAATCCCTAAGCTCAATCTTTCCCTTTCAGAGCTGTTAAACTCCTGCAGGGGGAGCACAACTTCAGTCCCTCGGTAAAGCTGGGTGGCATTCGCCTAATGAAGTCCATCACCGTTTACAGCATGGGACTGGCATTCCTGCGAATGCACCGCATCTGGACCCTGCTAATCCAGTACTCCAACAACGATCATACCCTGTACGTGGTGCGGGAGGCCCGGCAGGTTCTCTTCAATATGCTGTACAAGTCCTGCGACAAGCTTCACGACAAGGCCGTCACTCTGGAGATTCTCGCCGAGATCATGAAACCGATCCACGACAATCTGTACAAAAACTCCGACAGCGAGGAGCGCATCCACATCAAGGTGGACGACAACGAACTGCTGCACAAGATCTCCGCCACCCTGGACCTGCTCTCCTACATCCTGCAGCAGACGCTGGTGCACGAAGAGCGCACCAGTCTGATTGCCCTGCTCAAAGAGTATCATGACTTCGAGATAACCATTTGGAAGCTTATCGATATGACTCACAACCCGTACTTTATTGAGAAGATCTTCACCACGCTGAGCAGCTACAACTTTGCCCTGCTGATGCACGAAAAGTTGCTGAATCCGGATGCCACCGAGCCCCCGGAGGAGTTCACCGAGTTCGGATTGGCGTTCTTCAATCTCATGAAATTCTTCATCACCCGCAAAGACGGCGAGAGCTTTGTTAAGTTGGCGGAACTAAACCATGTGTTGTGGAAAAAGCTGGGCCCTCGGGCACCCAAGGAAATTGTCATCCAACAAGAGCGGGTGACTTTCGAGAACCAGCTTATTTGCTTCCACATGCTGCCGCTGCTTTTCTCCATGAAGTATGCCCAGAAGATCGCTGACGAGGAGAACAAGGTGGAGCTTTTCGACGCCTATGTCGTGAAGTTGCTGGAGATCTCCTGCGAACAGACCCTGCGACTTTGTTACACCATGCGGGATACCTTCTTTACGGCGGACGGTATGGCAGTGGGTCTTGTGACGGCCGGGCTGGCCAACAAATGCATTCACAGCCTGCTGGCCCTGGAGAATGTTCTCGACCGGGAGCAGGCGGTTACTGTGTGCCAGGCTCTGCTCTACGTACTCCGCGAAGCAGTGGCCCTGAGTGTCATTACGAACAACGCCCAGGATGACTGCCACAGCGTGAGCAGCGCGGGCAGCTCGTACCTGGAAATGTATCCGCGCGGCACCGAGCAGGTTGTTAACGATCCAAAGGTTCTACACTCAGTCATGGTGGGTCTGCGCACCCTTATCGAACGCTTCAAGATCACGTGGAAGGAGTCGGTGGAGACTATTGGCCTCGTCAATTGTCTGGCTTTTGTCCTGGAAAACACAAACATGGATGCTAGGGTGAGTCCTAATAGTTCCTTGGTGTTTGAAACTCACGGATGCATTTTAATTAAAACTAATTTTTATTTAATAGTTATCAATTTCGCATTAGTTAACCAGATGTATATATTTCATATATACTTTCAGTGCACTGTCCAGGCGCTGAAGCTCGTCCAGCTGGCTGTGGAGCACTTCCTTTCTCCAAACATGGCTCTGTTAGTGGACAACTTGCAGGGCTCCGCGTTGGTCTGCCTGGGTCCCATTATCGTAAAGCGAATGCACGACACGATGTGGGAGGTGCGTGACACAACGTTGGAGCTCACCACCTCTATAGCTAATATCTCGCGCATCAGTAAGCATGTTATTATTATCAGGCATTGACTTTCTTTAATGACCCCTTTTTACTACAGAGTTTCCCGCCTTTCAACGGTTTCTAATCGACTCAAAGATACCGCCTATAGTATACGAAATGGCTAAGAATGATTCGGAAGTCTACGTCAGAGCCTCTGCTTTCAAATGTCTATCACAAATGGTCTCCATAAACCTGTTGTGGGAAAATGGACTTAGCCAACTCGATCTAGTGGTGTGTAACTCGACTTATAAAACTTGCCTAATTGCTCTTAACCCATTTAAATCTCCTCAGGACCATCTTCTGTATGTGATGTACCGTGAGAACGATGATATTGTGCGAGCCGAGGCCGTCATCACTCTGATGAAAATCTACGAACACCGCAAAATCCACGAGAAGTATAAGAACACGCTCTTCTCAACCCTCAACTACTGTGTAGTCGGGGATCATCACACGGAGGTGAAGCTAAATGCGCTGAATTTCTGGCGACGAGAGTTCTACCGTCAGTTCAGCAACCAGGGTATGATCGATGGCTCTTTTCCCACAGTGACCTTCTCAAAGGAGCAGAAAAAGATCGTCACACTGACGGAGAAAGAGATCCAGACTAGCATTGCCAAAGTATTTGGCGGTGTCCAGCAGTACGGATATTTTGGCATCCTACTCAAGTGTTTGCGGGAGGAGACTTCAATGGAAGTGCTAGAGTTCCTCATTAAGGGTGTCAAGATAATGACGGAAAAGTTCGAGCGCTACAAGGGCATAATGGACGAGATCGAGATGAGGTCGCCGCTTTTAGACAGCGATCGTCCGACATTCAGTTTCCCTTCTGAAGCCCAGCCAACTCCAATTCCACAATCACCAGTCAATCCCACCGAAGCGGACGAAGTCATCGAGTCCATTCTGAACTCGCAAGATTCCCAGCTTTTGGAGAAGGCGTTTGAGACCCAGATGCAGATAAACGACGAGGCGGAAACGGCGGAGAAGCGACACATCGATGAGTTCTACTACAAGCAGTTTGCGGTGCCGTTGCGACAGTTCTTCGAGGAACTGAAGTCCATCGACCTGGACCAGTTGGTCAAGCAACATCAGGAGTGGTTCGAGTGCAAGGAGAATTTCACCTCCCTGCTGGATGACATCCTCGGTGCGTTAAAGCGCGACGATGAGAACATGATTTCGGACTGTTACTAGTTCCGGGCTAAGCCGATTGCAAGTCAAACCCCCTCTGTGAAGTAAGCTTAAAGTGTTTTTCCTTGAAATAGAAAATATTTTTGATAACTATGTTAGTGTTGCACATGAAATGAGATTTTATTCCGCTGCCGCAGTCGAAAAATAAAGAAAATGTAATGAAAGAAGAGCAGGGTTGTAGTTGAAAATATAAAAGCTAGGAGCTTTTTAACCAATTTTTTAAAAAATCAGTTTAAAATTGCGATTCATATTTTTCAAACTGTTTTTTACCATTTTAAATTATGGGTGAGCTGGGCACACTTTTCCGGTCGTGTTTGTTTTGGTTTTCTGTTAGTGGTGGTAATTGCGGACAGGGATGTGAGACGGCTCCTATCGATACTTTCGGTGGTAGGAAACTAGAAGTTTTTAAAAGAGGGCACCTTTTAATTTGTAAGAAAAAACCCCAACTGCTGACAGCGGCGCAAAAATTGCGCATACTCCTGGTGGGCTGCTGGTTGGATTCAAAATAAAAATAAATATGAAACAAAATATTTTCAAAAAATAGCGATATATCATGTGAAAAGATATCACGATATAATTATCAACTCAAAAATTATCGATGTATTCGATATTTTGATACGGCCACCTTACTTTAACAATTCATATGAACAAGACCAAAACGTCTCGCGTTCGAATTTGCACGCACTGCAGCATAAATATTTAAATCAGCGCTGGGAACATGCAGTTGCACAAACGCCGAGCCAAGCAAAAATATGGCCAGTGAATTATGTCATAAATGTGAAAGTGTTTCAAGTTGCACTGCAGCGGCAGTCACAGCAACAACAACAGCAGCGGTAGCAGAAACAAAAACTGCACGCATGTAAAAAAGGAGTGCGAAGTGTGTAGAAAAAAATCAATTGAGAAGAAAATTGCATTTTCGCCGCCGCGACCGAAACGAAAATAAGTGAAAGAGGAAAATATATATATATAAATATTTATATATATAAAGTGCGTTCGGGGTGTTTGCGTGTGTGTAAGGAAAGGAGCAAGAAGCAGCGCCAGCAGAAATAGCAAAAGGAGGCAGCAACAACAAAAGGCGAGAGAAAACCGCCAGCAGCAACAACAACCAGCAGCCCCCTAATAAAGAGCAGAAAAAAATGAGTTCAAGTTGTGAAAGGTGTGTGCCGTTACACTACAACTACAACAACTACCATCGGCGGCAGCAACCAAAAACAACAACAACAACAACGGCAATCTCCAGACAACGCGAATGTCGAAATTGTGTATACAATTTATTAAGAAAGCAAATGCAGCAACAACAATGACCAACTGCAGATGCTTTTGTTAAATAAATTGTTGTCTTGAATGCAGAAAATTTCCATGCAGTGCGAATGGGTGGGTGGCAAAACAGGAGAGGGAGTGGGCGTGGAAGGGGAGCAGGAAGAGAGAGAGAGAGAGGAGAAGGAGCCGCCTTCGGACAGCTGCGTTTGCCTCCCCATGTGTGTGTGTGCGTGAGAGTGCGTGAGTGGGTGGCAACGCCACCCCTCTCCTCTCGCGTGCATTTGGTTTTACCTTGATTAAATTCCTGATTTATGCACTTTTTGGCTCTTTCGTGGCCTCAGGCGCCTGCAAAATCGATTTTCTGGCAAGGCGCGGCAACAAGCGTCGGCCGCCAAATGTGCCAAAAAGAGAGAGCCAAAGAGAGAGTGCTTGCACCCTCTCGCACTCACCTCATTCACTCACTCTCTCCCAACTCCCATTCTCGCCCAAGTATGCGTGTGTGTGTGTGTAAGGACTGCAATTTTCAAATAAGGAAAAACCGGATACGGTTTGACTAAATATGTTTGTCGGCATAGAGAAAAGCCCAATTGAATGGGGGAAAACCGGCACACAACACACACACACACACATTTGGAAACTACGCACAATGACGATTTTGGTCAAACTTTTTTTCTTCCTTCCATCAATTTGCCTCAATGAATGCCCTGAAATATTGAATGAAACATTTGTTTGCTATGGGATTTTGCCATTGTTGTTGTTTTTTGCTGCCGCTTTTGAGGGCGTGTTTCACCAAGTTTTTGGTATCTCAGATTCTTTGCCGTGCTCAAAAGCCTCGGCTGGCATTCCTGAGATGCTTTTGTCGGTCGCTCGAAAATAGAAGCAATCGCATTTTATGTCTTATTTATGTGTATTTCTCGCCCTCTCCGGATCTCCATCTTCATCTCCGCTCCGGACCAGCAGAATAGAATGGGTAGAAATCATCGAGCCGCGCACCAAGGAGCACATGTACGCCAATCTCACCACGGGCGAATGTGTTTGGGATCCACCAGAAGTAAGTACATATCTCTATATCTGAAAGTCCATATATCTACAGAACACTTTCCCAAAATAAAGTTATAAACAGACTCCAAGAACAAGTACATATCTCAAACCAATTAAGGCCACTTCATTTTCAACAAAAACCTACATTTGAGAAGTAACGAATTTGACTCCATAATATTAGTTAAATCTTCAGGAAATTTGGGATGACGGTTTTACAATATTAAAGGACTAGGCCTAAAAAGTGAGGTACATTTTTACCAGAAAAATTGTCATTACTTAATCAATTTGTCGACTTATATTACCACAAATGTATAAACTCTTGACATATTAAATACTTTACAAAGAGTGCAGATTCCTATTGAAATCTATCGACTTTTTTAAATTTTTTTTAAGTAGCAAGACATTTTCATAACACGAATATCAGCCCTATTTGGACAGTTATTACTTATCTTATCATCTTACGCAACACAAGATCTTCTCATATTTATGGAGTTCAATGACCCCGCTCGTGATTGTTACTTCATTGATTAGATGAGTAACTTGTTGTGCGGCTAGTTGTTTAATTACTATTCTGGGTCAGTTGTTTGCGCAATTTTCTTGTTTGTGTTTGGCTTGCAAATTTTTCGTAACCCACTTCGCCAAGTGGCGTGACCAAGGTTAATTATATTAAAATAACTGCCGAATGATGCGCGCATCATCATAACCGTTCTGATATAACAGCCGAGTAAAAGGAGGAAATGTTGCAGTTGTTCATGCCTCAGTGCAAATATTTTCCCTATCTAAGGCGAAACTTTTCCCTTTCAGACTAGCTTGAAAGGAAAACCACTGGCATGTTTGCTTAAATGCTTGGCTTTTTTTTCACATTTTCTATGCTGTTTGGCTAATGCGGCAACGCCAAAAGGTGTTGCAGGCTAATAACTTTGGTCTCGCCTGCAGGACGAAGCCGAAAGGCAAACATCGGCCAGACGAGCTATCGAGGCCACCCTTCTTCCTTTTCTTTGGCTTTTTATTTTACCTTTTCCTAAAGGAAGTAGTGAAAATTTCATTGATTTTGTTTTTGGCCTGCAATGTCCTCGTTTCGCTCCTGATTGCACACACATCGCCAGGAGTGTTCTGAAGGTATTGGTGAGCCATAGAGTGCATGTCCTGCTTCCATAATGAAGGGGCTTGCATGCGGAGCTACACTGGAAAAAATAGTGTGACTAACTGAAAACTATTTTAATTTCAAAACGCATATTAGTAGAGAATTATTCTGGTAAATGTTATGAAATACTTTGATGTATTGGCTAACGACACCTGATCTCTTAAATGCTGTTAATTTATTCAAAGCCTAAAATGAAAGCTTTTGAAAAGCATTTAATTTAATAAGATTGTCATTGTAAATATCGTTGCTCGATTGAATAATCAATATTCAATTAAAATAATTAAAAACTCCAGTAAAGAGAAAACGTTTTCAATTACAACTTGGGCAAGAATTTTTTGCAGTGCAAGTGGGCGTAATGTCCGCTTGGACGCCATGATTTATTGCTCGTCCTGCGACCCTTCTCCGCTCTTCTCCCTCCCCTTTTCTCTCACCCCCCCAAAGGCACTGCAGCAAAGCCATCGCTCTCTCTTTGCGCTCTTCGAGTGTTTATTTATGTGCATTTCATTTCGGTTTTTGTCACTCTCACTCTCTGTTTGAGTCATCGACTACGTCATCCGCATTGTGCACCCCCCTCTAGCCACCACCTACATAAACACTGCTCTCGGCCAAAAAGCGAAAGAGACGAAAAGATAACAAAAACCATAATATAGGTAAATATCAATGGTCTTGGTTCTCAACAGCTTCATCATTGGGTTAATTAATGATGGTTTGCGGTCAATGAATAGAGTGGATACAGTGATCGCTCCCAAATAAGAGAGCACACACATCATCTATTATTGAAATATTTATAGATTTTTACTTTCAAAAATTAAAAAAAATATTACTTAAGCAAATTAAAAAATATTTTACTTGTTTTAAATTAAACACATGTGTATGTATGTATATACCATGATTTTTTAAAACTTGTCTTTAATATATTTTAAAATATTATCACTATCATAAATACAAGCTATAATGATGTTCTTACTTTCTTGTTAAAGGTACTTAGGTTTAAAAAAAATTTAAAAAATGTCTACTCTAACCTATCTTTTCAACTTGATTTCATAGTTATTCCTTGCAACTTCGAGTAGACCAAAGTTGCGATTCCGGAGCTTCTATTGTGAATTAGCAGCGTAAAGTCGACACTTCCGTCTCCATTCTTCTGCCTTGCGAAGTAGCAGATAAGGTCTATAAAAGCCTGCCCTCGATTCAGTATCTGATTGCATGTACTGCAATTGTTGCCGCTCCCCTCGTGGCGAAGAGGAAGTGAATCCTTTTCACTGCGCCATAAAATCCGCACAATTTATGCAGGGCGGCGTGAAAAAGACATTACTAAAGATGGGGTGATTGCACCACCTTGCCTTGCCCACCGGCGGTGCACCCCTTTCCGTAGTCATTGTTCCACCCTCGCTGCTTTCTAACATGCTTTAAATTAGCGACATTCTGTTCTGGTTTTGTTGCTTATTGGCCAACTTGCTGCTTTTTGTTTTAGCCGAGCTGAGCTCTCTTTGGTGTCACCACCACCACCACCAACAACTCTCGCTGCTGCATTCATTGTACGTGATTTGAAATTTATTCACAGTTGTTGGGACACCGTCTACTTTTTTGTTCAGCTCTTTATTATAACTCGAAATTACCGCCCCGTCCCCCTCGTGGCTTTGTCAACTTTTTCATACTGTTTTTTGTCTCTTTTTTGCCCATTTGCCTTTGTAAAACTTCCGGTTGGCAGGGA